GGCACAGTGCAGCGGCCCCGACTCTGCGGGCAGCCTACCCCCACCAGGCAAAGCCACATTTTGCACCAGCCTCACTGAGAAGAGGGGGAAAACCCTGTCCCACCGAAGCTGGCGGTAACTTGGGGGGGGACCAGGGTTTTTCCTAGCAGCACCCGCATCCCACCCAGCCAGCAGGTGGACTTTGGGGCTGTCACATGTGCTGACGCACAGGGAAGAGCATCCTATGTCACCCCCCACACCACCAGCAAAGCCCAACCCCAACAGGACAACCTACCCCTGGAGACCCCCTGCCTGGGGTCCCAGCAGGACTCTTCTGGGGACAGGAGAGGTGGGGACTGACCTTTGGACTTTGACTTGATCTTGGAAGAGCAGGGCTTGGTCACATAGACGATCTCCTCGCACTGGGCATTGTACAGGGCTTTCTTCAGGATGCCGGAGCGAGTCTTCACGCCCGTCTGAGCGCTACACCCGCCCCAGCTCTCAAATTTGTACTTGCAGTCAGCTGGAAGAGAGGGGAGAGGCGTCAGAAGTAGCCAGGGCCCAGTGTGGGCACCAGCCCCAGCCACCCAGCCCAGGGTGGTTCCCGGCCACCCCAGCCCGGGGTGGTTCCCGGCCACCCCACCGCCACGCACCCACCTCCAAACTTCTTCTTCCAGTTGCAAGGGATCTTGCACTTGAGCTTCTTACTCTCGTCTTTGCAAGTCCCCTCGCGGTAGCCCAGGCCGCAGTCCTTGCTGTTGGGGACGCAGGGTCCCCAGCGCCAGTCCTCACACTCGGAGCCATCCTTCTTCACCTTCTCTGCAAAGGAAGGGGGAGCGGGTGCTCGCTGCAGGGGCACAGGAGCACACCCTGGGCTGCTGCCAGCCCTCGGCCCCCTGCCCCGGGCTGCCCCTCACCTTTCTTGTTCTTGCCAGCCTCAGCGGTGGCGGCCAGCAGGACCAGCGCCAGGAGGAAGAGGAGGCCCCGGACCTGCATCCTGCCTAGGGAGGAAGGAGAGGGTGAGGCAGGCGAGGGGTCAGGGCGCAATGCAGCAGTGAGGAGGGGGCACGGTGGGCTGTGGGCAGCTTGCCTGGGAGTGACTTCCATTGCACACACACACCTGCATGTGTGCACGTGTGTGCGCACATGTCTACGCCCCTGTACTGTGCTGGTTGCCACCCATTAGACCATGTGTGTTAATTGCAACAGGAAGGTTAATTGTGCATCTCAGCA